GGCGCCGGGGGGCGCCGACAGGACGGCGGGGTGGCAGGCCGAGGCGGCGCGGCTACTCACTCAGCCAGGACTCCAAGCTCTCCCCTTCCGCCTCCGCCATATTGCAGCCGCCCGGGCCAGCCCCGCGGCTTCAAACCTCGCGAGATTCTGCACGAGACCGTCCGAGGTGCGGCCTACATGGGGGCCTGAGAGGCCAAAGTGCTGCCTCCGGACGGAGCGCCTGACTGCGACGGACCCTGGGAACGGCAGTGTGTTCTTTTGGCTCTTCTTTCGCTTGGGCGTCAGGGCGAAAGACTTTTAACACCCAAATCTAGGGAGTGAGGTTCAGATTTAGGACCCCGTGGAGCCTTTAACCCGTCTATTTCGTCATTCGCTCAGGCGCACTGAGGGCAGCCCTCGCGGGGTCCTCGAAGCCGGCCAAGATGGCTGCCCCCGCCCTGAGAGCGGCGCCCGGGTGGTCCGGCCTGTCACTCGGGGCGCTGCGTGCTGTTTGGCGGCTTCCGGGGTGAGCGGGCAGCGGGCAGCCGGGCACGCCTCTTGGGTCTTTACGGAAGGACCTGGAAGGGAGCCACAGGAGGCCGCGCTGGGCCCGGGAGGAAGACGGCTGTCCCCAGGGTCGGGCCAGCCCTGCGCTCAGGCCTGCGCTGCGCGACCTGGCGCCCGGGGGAGGGCCGACGGCCGGGGAGGGCCCGAGGGGTCGGAGCGGGGTCGGGGTCTCTTGGGGGCTGCAAGCGCGGCCCGGCTGAGCCCCGAGTTGGGCGGCGGGGAAGGGAGAGGCAGGAGGGGTTCGCTGAACCTCGCTGTCAGCACGACTCAGGGAGAAGGCCCCGCGATCGCTCCGGACAGAAGCCAGAATTCCTGCGGTGCGTGTTTCGCCGGCGGTTCTTGGCGCTGCTCTCCCTCGTCAGCGGTCTGGCACACATTGCTATTGTTAAGTCAAGCTTCTCACACGTGTGTGGTCAGCTTCCTCTTTCCACTCCCAGGTTAAGCCAGGTGAGATGGAGCCGCTACGGTCCTGAATTCAGGGATCCCCTCACTGACAAAGAACATTACCGCAGACCTGAGGCCGAACTCACTGAGGAGGAGAAACATGAGCAGGAGCTCAAGAAAACTCAGCCCATCAAAGCTGCCCCATCAACGAAAACAAGCTCTGTGTTTGCAGACCCGGTGATCAGGTTAGATGGAAACACTCGTTGCATGGACTGGAACGATCCTACGGAGGGTTTAAAGAATTTCTAAATACTGCAGGGGCAGCTCATGCCTGTAATCCATCAGCCTGGGCAGGAAAGTCCAGGAGACTCTTTACCTCCAAGTAACCAGCAAAAAGCCCGAAGTTGGACTGTGGCTTCCATGGTAGAATGTCAGTCTTGAGTGAAAAGACTAAGGACAGCGCCCAGGCCCTGAGTTCAAGCCCTAGTACCAGCACAAAAGCAATAAAGAATTTACCAAAAAAGCTAACAATGTTCCTTTTTGTTTGTTTGTTTTTTGAAGCAAGTTCACCAACATGATGATGAGAAGAGGAAACAAGGTACTGGCCAGATCCCTCATGAACCAGGTAAATAGTTATTCCTGTTTTTGGTTTTTCCTCTAGCTTTAGACCCTGTTTGGTTCATCTCAGCTTTAAAATTAGAGAATGGGTCAGGCATTGGTGGCTCATGCCTGTGATCTTAGCCATTCAGGAGGTTGGGATCTCAGAATCTTTTTTTTTTTTTTTTTTGTCGGCCGTGGGGCTTGAACTCTGGGCCTGGGCGCTGTCCCTCAGCTCTTCAGCTCAAGGCAAGCGCTCTACCACTTGAGCTACAGCGCCACTTCCGGTTTTCTGGTGGTTTATTGGAGATAGGAGTCTCACGGTCTCTCCTGCCTGGGCTGGCCTTGAACCGCGATCCTCAGATCTCAGCCTCCTGAGTAGCTAGGATTACAGGCGTGAGCCACCAGCGCCCGGCGGGATCTCAGAATCTTGTTCAAAGCCAGGCTGGACAGGAAAACTCCAAAAGCTGGAAGTAGGGTTATGACTCAAGTGGTAGAGCACCAGTCTTGAGCAAATAAATCTACAGGACAATGTCTAAGCTCTGAGTTCAAGACTCACTACTGGCATCCTTCTCTCCCCCTCAAGAAAAGACTAAAGAGTAGAGCCCAGTATAAGCCTGTAACACCAACTACTTGGAAAGCAGAAGCAGGATACAGAGTTTGAGACCAGTCAGGGAAAAATTAGGGAGATACTTCCTCAAAAAACAAGTGAAGCTGGGTGCTGGTGGCTCATACCTCATGCCTGTAATCCTAGTTACCTAGAAAACAGATCTGAGGATTTCAGTTAAAAGCCAGACTGGACAGGAAAGTCTGTGAGAGTTTTTTGTTTTTTGTTTTTTTTGTCGGTCATGGGGCTTGAGCTCTGGGCTTGGGTGCTATCCCTGCACTCTTCAGCTCAAGGCAAGTGCTCTACTGCTTGAGCCACAGTGCCGCTTCCGGTTTTCTAGTGGTTTATTGGAGATTAGAGTCTTCCGGACTTTCCTGCCTGGGCTGGCTTTGAACCGTGATCCTCAGATCTCAGCCTCCTCAGTAGCTAGGATTACAGGTGTGAGCCACCAGCACCTGGCTACCTGTGAGACTCTTAATCTCCACTTAACTACACCCCTCTAAAAAAAATGCTGAAGTGGAGCTGTGGCTCAAGTGTTGGAATGCTAGCCTGAGCAAATAAGCTCAGGGACAATACCTAGATCCTGAGTTCAAGTCCTAGGACTGGCACAAAAAAAAACGTTGGACTGGGAAGGTGGCTCAGTGGTAGAGCGCTTGCCTTGCATGCATGAAGCCCTGGGTTCGATTCCTCAGCACCACATAAGCAAAAAGAAAAAAAGCCAGAAATGGTGCGGTGGCTCAAGTGGTAGAGCGCTATCCTTGAGCTGAAGAGCTGAGGGACAGCACCCAGGCCCAGAGTTCAGGCCCCACGACTGGACCTAAAAAAATATATATATGTGTGTGTGTGTGTTTGGAAATGGGGGTTTTGATGCAGTCCTGCAGGAGTCTGTCATTTCCCTCCCATTAGTTATTGCACAGTGAAGCAGGAGAAACTTAGAAACGTAGTGCTGGATGTGCTGAGGGAGGAGACGTCTGGCCATGTTGATGCGAGTAAAAGGCAAGGTGCTAAGCTAGTAAGTGATGTGGGGAGCCTGCATAGCCTTTGTGATGTCTCCCTTTGCAGACTCTGGAAGCAGTGAAAAGGAAGCAGTTTGAGAAGTACCACGCCGCTTCTGCGGAGGAGCGGGCAGCTATTGAGCGCAACCCCTATGTCATCTTCCACCGGGCACTGAAAAACTGCGAGCCAGTGATTGGGCTCGTGCCCATCCTCAGAGGTGGCCATTTCTACCAGGTGATGGGGCAAGAAAGCTACCTGTGAAACAGAGCAGGGTGGGAGGGCCCAGAGTTGGGCCAAGAGTCATGGCCTTCTAGATTTGGGACTTGTCAGGATCCATTCCTCTGGATCCTGTAGTATAGGCAGAGATCACAGGTAGAGATAGAAAAGAGAGAGCCATGCACTGGTGGTTCACACCTATAGTCCTAACTACTCAGGAAACAGATCTGAGGATCATGGTTCAAAGCCAACCCCAGGCAGGGAAGTCCATGAGACTCTTATCTCCAATTAACTGCCAGAAACCGGAAGGGGAGCTGTGGCTTGAAGAAGTAAAGTGCTAGCCTTAAGTGCTAGCCTTAGGATAGCGCCTAAGTCCTGAGTTCAAGTCCCATCATTGACAAAGCAAAAAAAAGAGGGCTGGGAAGGTGGCTCAATGGTAGAGTACTTGCCTTGTATGCATGAGGCCCTGGGTTCCATTCCTCAGCACCATATAAGCAGAAAAAGCCAGAGGTGGCTCTCTGGCTCAAGTGGTAGAGCCCCTGTCTTGAGCTGAAGAGCTGAGGGACAGCGCCTAGGCCCAGAGTTCAGGCCCCACAACTGACACCAAAAAAAAGAGAGAGAGAGAGAGAGCAAAGAAATGACAAAATGATTGGGGCTGGGAAGGTGGCTCAGTGGTAGAGTGCTTGCCTTGCATGCCTGAGGCCCTGGGTTCGATTCCTCAGCACCACATAAGCAAAAAGAAAAAAAAGCCGGGAGTGGAGCTGTGGCTCAAGTGGTAGAGTGCTAGCCTTGAGCTGAAGAGCTGAGGGACAGCACCCAGGCCCAGAGTTCAGGCCCCACGACCGGACCAAAAAAAAAGAAATGACAAAATGACATCTTCTGGGAGTCTCCCTTCCCTCTATCCAGCATCCTGTTTCCCTAAACTGTAAACTTCTCATGTTGAAGGTCCATGTTTATGTGCCCGTATCTAGCATAGTACTTAACTCATAACTGACAATTCATTAGTTTGTTGGATTTAACAAGATATCTCTATTTTAGCATTTAATCATTTTTTGTTGTCATAAGATTTTCTTGGCTTCTTTTTTGGTCTAAACACCAAGGGTGGGCCTGTCTCCACCTTAGCCTCTGGCATAGTCCCTGACACATAATAGAACCTGGGAAATGATTCTTGTAGGAGGGACAGTTTTTAGTTATTACACTTGATCTGAGGCAGCTAAATCACTCCAGCTAACAAGTCTGTCCCCAGTTCACGCTTGTGTCAGCTTGGTTACTTTTCCTTTTAGGAGCACAAGAGGCTTGTGCTTAATGAGTGTTTGCTGAGTATGTCTGTTACACCAAAGTCACGCAAGGGTGAGAGATGATCAAAGAAACAAACCTAGAGAGGCTCCTCACGAGCCTTACTGGGGCCGCCCAGGGGAAACGCGGCCCCTCCTCAGAGCTAGGAAGCAGGAGGTCCAGACCTGGCAGGCCCCTTCACCTGTGCCTTTGCTTACCCAGGTCCCTGCGCCCATAGCCGACCGACGTCGACGCTTCCTGGCTATGAAGTGGATGATCACTGAGTGCAGAGAGAAGAAGCACCGGCGGACACTGATGCCAGAGAAACTGTCACACGAGCTGCTGGAGGCTTTCAACAACCAAGGCCCAGTGATCAAGAGGAAGCACGACATGCACAAGATGGCCGAGGCCAACAGGGCTCTGGCCCACTACCGCTGGTGGTAGAGGAGAGGACAGGCCCAGGGAGGAGCCAGGCTCTCCACGCAGGAATCCACTGCCCCACGGGAGAGGACCTGGGACAGCTGTGAGTGAAGGACGTCTTCCTTTCGGGAAAGGATGGAGCAGTGTGCTCGTTGCCCATTTTTCCTTCAGGGCTACCACTGGTATCCCTCTCCAGCCCCTGCTGAAGAACATAGCCCCACCGGGATTCCCTCCGAGAAAGTAAGGCCAATCTTCTCTTCCCTCAGCTGGGGCTAGACATGTAGACACTGAAAGAAGGCAGTGTTCGTATGAGAAAAGATTTATTAGAAAATGCTCGGCCTGACCTGATGAGTGGCCATTTCATTACAGCTGACTGGCTGGGGCTTGTCTCCACCGCAGTCATTGTACAAAAGTGTATCAAATGCAGTTTCTGTCCTGACTGGTGTTTGGTCGCTGCTCCTCGATGTCCTAAAGTACCCGATGGCTGTGGTAACCCATTTTGTAGATGGGGAAACTGAGGCACCGTGGTAGTGTTGTACCAGTGGCTACATGGCTCTGGTTGGGAGTTGCCCACGTGGAAAGCGGGAGGAAGGGGCAGTGCAGCAGGACTGCATGGTGTCTTCCAGGCCCTTAGGGGAGGAAGGAAAGGAGGCAGGACCACCGGTTAAGTAGGGAGGAGGGACGGTTGAGAAGGGACCGTGGAGAGGCAGGCACTCTGTTACCAACTGTGGATTAGCGTTACAGAATGGCCAGTGAGTGGCCAAGCCTAGTCAGTCACCTCACTGTAGTAATACTTGTGGGCAGCAGGTGTGGTCTTCCAGCCAGCTGCCCGGAACTCAACGATCTCCAGCAGTAGCAGATGGGACAGGGAGCTGAGACTGGTTTGGAGGAGGAAGCCATCCCGGATCAAGAAAAAGAGGTCATCCATGCGCTGCCCGTTCATCTTCTCCAGCTGCTCCCCGACCCGGTGCAGCTGCAGAACCAAGCAGTCTACCTGCAAAGGCAGCAGGAAGCCTCCTGGTCAGCTCCGGGCAGAGCCAACCCAGCACACAAGAGCGACAGCACGTGCCAAGTGCCAGCTTCTGTGCTTTGCCCTTGTTCTGTGTTCATTCTTCACCCTTACCTGATCGTGGGTACACATGAACTTGCTTCGAACATCTGGCCAGGCTGGATTCAGACCTGTCTCCAATCCACTGGTTAATCCTACTTTCTGCCTACTCTTCACAACTTGGCCCAGGTTTAGTTTCTGTGCCTACTGTAACCGCAGCTGGTCATGCGCTCTCACCATTCCTATTGGAGCTTGGGTTTCCTGCTGGGGAGGGAGCTGCTGAACTAGTCAGGTTTGGCTGCTCTGTTCTGGATAAATTCTAGACCCAGCAGTCGGTCATGTAACCACCAGGCTCCTGCCCAGAAGCAATGCCTTCCAAGGTCTCTGCAGGTGGAGTTTGCTATTCTGAGCCAAGTCAGGCAGCTCATCGCTAGCACCACCTCCCCAACTACTCACCTCCTCCTCGTTGCTCAGACTGTCGGGCTGGGCTAGCCGGAAGAGGCAGTCATACACAGGGTTCACGAGGGCCATCATAGGCATGTTGCTCACCTGTGTGGAGAAGAGGGGTCAGGGCAGCTGTATTAGCGGCCCTGGGGAAACTGTCCAACCTGGCCTTGGAAACAGGCCTCTGCCTCTCAGGGTGGCAGGCCTCACCCTCAGGTAGTCAAAGATGTTGCAGATAAAGGTGACATAGCAGACCCAGCCCTGTAGGGAGCGCGCTCGCAGCTGCTCCCGGGCCTGGTACTCCTGCTGCAGCCGGTTGAGGAGTCCACGGCGGAAGACACTCTGGCCTGCTTGTTTACTCTCTGCCTGTGAGCCAGGGAGAGGGTGATGAGAGCCGGAGGGACGGTGCTATTGCTACCCCACCCATCCTGGCCGCTCCCTGTACATCTCTATTCTAGCTGGCCTGTGCCCTCTCCTGAGACATCTTACAGCAGCTCCCTCTCCTCTGCCAACTCCCCAACCTGGATGATGGCGTAGCACATGCGGCCTGCTTCCTTGCTGAACACACAGTCCTGCAGAGAGTGATCCACGATCACATTGGCCACTTTCTCCAAGTCCACCGCACCTGGATCTAGGGTAGAGACAGGAGGGAACCTAGAGCTGCCCATTGTTGGCACACTTGCCGCCACCTACTTCTGTGGATATTAGATGTCCTCAGAGCGCTAAATGTTGACATTTAAGGAGACTATGGGGCGGCGGTGTAGCTCAGTGGGTGAAGGCTTGCCCACTGTGTGTGAGACTCAGGGTTTCATCCCCAACACTGCAAAAGAAACATGAGAACACCTCCACAGTTGACAGGCAGAAGCCATGTCTCGGGGCAGCCCCAGCCATCAGCCCCCTGGTTCTCTACAGAGAGCTGGAAATGACCAAAGTGAATGTGTCTCAGGGCACATCTTTTCCTGGCACGAAGTTGAGAAACTACTGAACACCCAATGCCACATGTGTCCCGATAACACGGCCCCCGCGCCGGAGCAGCAGGGGCTCCCCACAAGCTCACAAGAACATAGCTAGTGGTTAACCAGGTCAATCTCCAGTCCTGACTGCTCCATCCATCCAAATCCGGCAGCTCTGCATATTAAAGAGAGCTGTCAGCAAGCCAGTCAGCCTCAGAGGCTTAAAGGGCAGGAGCCTTGTTCTCTTTCATGGGTACTTAAAGGCTTTACAGGCAGAGACGACTGATTCATCCTCCCCAAACCGGCCTGCCTGTGGGCTGCCTTCGGTCTGCGTTGGGCTGTGACTCCTATTCCCAGACAAGGGCTGGACGGGGCTGCGGGGACTCCCCGCTCACCTTTGAGCGCTGTCTTCAGCAGCTGCTGGGTCTCTGCGTCAAAAGACTGGATTTTATACTCTTCTCTCCCGGCCTCCCCCATGACAACCGGTCAGTCCCAGCAGCTCCTCACTGAGCGGGGGCTGTGACAGCACCTGAGAAGAAGCCGGGAGGGGCGGGGCCTCAGGTGTGCGGGGGGCGGGGCCGACGCTCCTGGGAACAGGTGCAACCGGGCGGACCGCGGCTTTCGGTGGCTGACCGCGAGCCCACCAAGCTTGGCTCCCGGCGGAGACGGGCCGAGCCGGCCGGGCACCTGCTGACCCTGGGAAACCCCAGGCTCCGGGGATTAGGAGCGAAGAAGGGCCAAGGCCCCCGGCCCGCCCTCTCGGGGCAGGCGGGCTATTTTTAGCCGGCACTGAAGTAACTTGAGCGACGGTGCCTAAGCTGGGGTGCGGAGTGTTGGGCTCACACGAAGAGTCCTCCATTCCGCAGGGGACAGGGCTGAGGGCCCCACGCTGCGGACCTCAGCGCCTGCGGCAGCGCAGCCGTCTCTAGATGTCTCCAGAGTCGTCCTCGATCCACAAAGCCCGCCCCTGCCGCCCCGGGCCGGGGCCGGG